GTATATCTATACATATATCTATAGCAATATTATCTATATCTGTACTTTTATTTGTATCTATATCTATATCTACATCTATATCTTATATATATATACAGTACATATGTGTATGTATGTATGTATGTAGTCTACCTCTCCACACCTTGCTGGTTGCGTACTTATCTGGCCGATCTTATTCAGCTTCTCACTTCCTTTCGATGATGCAGTATTACTCGGACACGGGTATCCCAAAGAAATATCTGAGCGACAACGTCTGTGCTGTTTGTGGGGACGATTTTATGCCTCAGAGCGATGATCAACTGATACTAGAATGCAATCACAAGTATGTTCGCCATATCCGTTAACAAATTCTGCCATCGCTTTTACATTTCCTAGTTGATATTTATTCCTTGTTCGTTTACGTAGGCGCAGGTGAGCTCCATCGTATGCATGTCGTTTTTTATATATAGTAGTTGTCTCCTAGATGAGCATATCTACTTCGGCACAATAGACATTATTATCTGTCGCTAGGCAGATGCGTGCACCTTTCATATGTTAAAAAGGTGTGGTGTGTTTAGATATAGACTGTCCTCATATGTATCACTATTTATACCTATGACGAAAGTATTTGCTCACACTTCACTAGAGACGATGCCGGCATGTACATGTGACTGTTGGGTCATACATTTATTGGAGTGCTAAATATTAGTATACAGTTTTCGATCATGATGTTGTGTTGTAGGGGTTGTATTATATTCATGGGCCTGGTTCAGTTCCAGCCAGGCGGATTGTTTATTGTTTACTGTTAGGTTGCCCGTGTGATCGTATACGAATAAAAAAGTTCCGCCCATAAGTAGCAACATGCGAACAAATACTACAAACATCAAACCCCAAAAGGGGACACAGTAACACTTTCGTTTGAAAGAGGAACACAAACAGTTTTACTCTTCACCATCATACCTACGAATGTACTGGCGTCGACGATTAAGGCATTGTTCCACGTGAAGTATTCGGAATGGGCGTCAATTGCACATGCTGTTTCCTCCCGTTAATTTGTGATGTCATGAAGAATAGCGATCACGGTTCACATGCTGACACTGCATATCTCTGCTATCCAGGGTGCACCATAATTGTATTAAGGGCTGGATGATTGTAGGTAAAAAGCAAACTTGCCCGTACTGCAAAGAAAAGATAGATCTCAGGAAGATAGCGCCTTCCCCGTGGCTATCGCAGGACGTTGCCTTCGGTGCTTTACTGGATGGCTTAAGATATTTGGTTGCTTGGCAACCGCTCATCATACTCACGGCGCAATCGCTAATAACGATGTTCCATTTACATTAAAGACTCATAGTTATTTTTTTTATTACTTCTTCGACGGACTGCTTCATCCTGTACCGAATTCCTTGTTTCGTGATAAACTTTAATCCATATCTGATTAATATATTA